TGTTAGAACTGAAGTAATTATAAAGTTGCTCAAAGATTAATTTTTCGAAGATTTTGGCTACAGCTGAAATAACTGATATTGGTCAATAGTTATTCGGATCATTCCTTTTTCCTTTCTTAAATATTGGTGTTACTCTAGCCATTTTCCACTCGGATGGAAATATGCCAGTGTTAATTGATCTGGCAAATATATCAGTTAATGATGGTGAGATTATTGCAGCTGCTATTTTTAACAGCTTATTAGGAATGTTGTCGAGACCTGGAGCTTTTCGTTCGTTAATTTTACTCAACAGAATATAAACCATATCAACCGTAGGAGGTCTAATGGAAAACCTCTGCTCAGTTGATTCTAAATAGTCTTCAGGGTTGACGTTAGAAATGGGTATCTCTGAGGCTAGATTCTCACCAATATTTGAGAAGTGATTGTTAAAAGCTTCAGCTATATTTGCAGGTTATTTATTGTTTTTCCGTCTACTTTAATCTCGTTAATGTTACTTGACTTATTACAATTACGCGAGCTTAGTTCGTTAATTAATTTCCATGTTTTTCTTGGATTTGTTTTAGCAGTTTCCAAATTCGTTATAAAATACTCTTGCTTTGCTTTTCTAATTTCGTTATTGGTACGATTTCGAGCAACCCTATATTCTTCGCATAAAGTTTGATCATCGGCCAATGTTGCTTTCCGCTTCAGATAATCTCGTTTATGCATATGTCGTAACAATTGGCTTGTTATCCACGGCGATTTTTTTTTTTGCCTGCTCTTTTGGAGCGAGATGGTGCGTGCTTGTCAATGCACTCCATTAATAAACTTTTCCACGTGTCCCACATATCATTAGGATCAGTATTTGTGTTAACATCACACCACCGCTTTTGTTCCAAGTCTCTAAGAAAATTGTCTCTATTGAAATTCTTTAAACAACGAGTTTTTATTGTGCGCGTCCCGGTACGTTCTATATTAGTTTTATAAGTCATAAACACAAGTGAATGATCGCTAATAGATATGTGGTTAACGCCGAATTTTATTATTTTTGATGGTACATTTGTGAAACATAGATCAATCAAGGTTTGAGAACAATTAGTAATTCTTGTAGGTTCGTTTATTAGCTGATCCATACCATAAATATCTAGTATGGAATTCAGTTTTACAGCATTGGCCGAGATCGGTTCATGCATAAGATCTATGTTAATGTCACCTAATATACACATCTCTTGATTTTCTGAGTCCAGCTTTCCAATAATATTTTCAAAATCATCTAGATAACTAATTGGAGAGTTTGGTGGTCTATACCATGTGCCAAGAATCAACGATTTTGACCGTGGTTTGGTAATTTCTATTATAAGACATTCTAAATTTTCGAAATTCAAGTCATCTCGCGTTATATAATTAATATTGGTCGCACAAAAATACAGACACCTCCACCGTTTCGACCATTAATTTTTCGATCTTTCCTAATTATCTCATATCCAGGGATATGGATTTCACTATTCTCAATCGTTGAATCTAATTTAGTTTCGTTAATTGCAAGCACATCTATTTTACTATTATTCATATACACCCTAAGTTCGTCAATGTGAGCTAAAAGGCTATTTATATTTAACGAGGCCATCACTAAGCCACGTCCATAAACGTTATGATCGATAGTTAAAGGTGCATCTTCAGTTTTATCATTATTATCATCTGGCAGCACAGAGATTAGGGATTCCCATCCGGCAATATTTCAATTATTATGATTAATAATATTTAAAAAATTACGAGCTAATTGAGTAGTTCCGTCTCTATTCAAATGCAGACCACTTCGATTTAAATGTTTTTGTGTAATATTTGAGTGGTCTATTAGTGTCCAATTGTGTTGTCGACATAACTTACTTAACGCTAAGTTCACTTCATCAATTTGTTTCCCAAGTCTACTATCATCTGATCTAAATATTAAACTTGATATAATTACCTCCGTTTCCTTTCCATCTGTCTGTTCCACCGATTTAGCTAATTCAACAATTTCCTCTGCACAGGATGTGGGGCTTTCAGATTCTCGTAGACTGTTTGTACCTACGTGTATAATTACTTGGTCGGGTTTCTTTCTCAGAACAGGTTTAATGTAGTCGTACATATCTCTAGTGGTACTACCAGGAAATGTAGATATTTTGACTTTGTTTTCTTTAGACATCCTGTAACCCTTCAGGTTCTTCAACATTGAATCTCCGACAATAGTTACTTTGCGAGATGAGTGTCCAGACTTTTGATTCTTACGATCGCCATTATGCCGTTTACCACCTTGCTTTCCATTCAGACCCCTATTTGGGGTTTGTTTGGAAAGAGAACTAGAGGTGGATGTTTGTTGTGGAGACCTGACGTGTTGAGCGGATTGATCATCATTACTGTCTAGTTGGGAATGATCGCTGGGGTCGTGAGTCGATTGTGTATTTCTTGCTTGTGAGCTCTTGTGATTGTGTTCCTGTTCCGGTTCACAACAGCTATTGTTTCCATCCTCGTTAATTAATAATTCAAATCTGTTTGCGGTGCCAATGTCAGTTCTTGTTAATTGCTTAGTTTGCTTGTTATGATACACACCATTGTTATTAGTATTATGCACTTTCTGCCAAACATTATCGTTTTTTCTAGCAGCGGTTTCAGCTACCTCATTCTGTCTTGTATGATGATGACAGTATTTGTCCTGGGCAATAAGCCTAGTAGCTAATTGTAGAGAATCTCTTTCTTGACTTGTCTCAAGCAATTTCTGTTCGAGATATACTATATGCTGTTTACTCTCATTTATCTCTTTTAAGTATTTGTCATTCATATCTGCAGCCCTATTGTACATGGAAAGTACTGAGTCATGATCCTTCAATATAATCTCGAATGAGTCAATTGACGATTGTAGCTTAGTAATTGTAGATTTAAGGATTTCAATATCTTTAGAGGATTGACTGCATGCGCAATTGCATTCTCGACTAGCCCGAGTTGAATGATATTCAGTCGACTCTATTTCATATGTCTGACTAGAAGTATCTACCGATATGGTGTTCACAGATTCAAACTCGCTTAAATTTAGAGCATATTCATCCTCATCGTGACGTTCACTAAGCGTCTGACTTGGGCTGTTAACTAATACGATGCTATCATCGTGTATACTTGTACTATTTTGCTCGCTTGACCTTGAAGAATGTTTATCTCCGCCGGGTTGCGAAATACTCGCAATCTTTCCGATTAAAAAGTTCTTGATTTTCTTACCTCGATCGCCTTGAAACAGCAACGATTTCGTGTCGGTATAATACCTAATCAGAACACTTTCAGGATCTTCGCTAAATGCCTTGAGATAACCACCCGGCGATGACCAAGTTCCCTCTATTTGTAGAGTTGTTTCGACAAATAGTTTTAGATCCTCAAGACGTCGATATTCGACGACATAAACACCATCAACTTTGGTGTTTATGACGTCGATATTCGGCGTCATAAACACGATCAACTTTGGTGTTTATGACGTCGATATTCGACGTCATAAACACGATCATCTTTGGTGTTTATGACGTCGATATTCGACATCATAACCACGATCAACTTTTGTGTTTATAACGTCGATATTGGACGTCATAAACAAGATCAACTTTGATGTTTATGACGTCGATATTCGACCACATAAACACGATCAACTTTCGTGTTGATGACGTCGATATTCGACGTCATAATCACGATCAACTTTGGTGTTTATGACGTCGATATTCGGCATCATAAACTCGATCAACTCTGGTGTTTATGACGTCGATATTCGACGACATAAGCACGATCAACTTTCGTGTTGACGACGTCGATATTCGACGACATAAGCACGATCAACTTTGGTGTTTATGACGTCGATATTCGACGACATAAACACGATCAACTGTCGTGTTTATGACTTCGATATTCGACGACATAAACACGATCAACTTTGGTGTTTAAGAAGTCGATATTCGACGTCATAAACACGATCAGCTTTACTGTTTATAACGTCAATATTCGACGAATTAAACACGATCAACTTTGGTGTTTATGACGTCGATATTCGGCATCATAAACTCGATCAACTTTGGTGTTTATGACGTCGATATTCGACGACATAAGCACGATCTACTTTGGTGTTTATGACGTCGATATTCGACGACATATACACGATCAACTTTCGTGTTTATCACGTCGATATTCGACAACATAGAGACGATCAACTTTGGTGTTTATGACGTCTATATGCGACGACATAAACACGATCAACTTTGGTGTTTATGACGCCGATATTCGACGTCATAAACACAATCAACTTAGGTGTTTATGACGTCGATATTCGACGACATAAACACCATCAACTTTCGTGTTTATGACGTCGATATTCGACGACATAAACACGATCAACTTTGGTGTTTATGACGTCGGTATTCGACGTCATAAACACAAACAACTTAGGTGTTTATGACGTAGATATTCGACCACATAAACACGATCAACTTTCGTGTTGATGACGTCGATATTCGACCACATAAACACGATCAACTTTGGTGTTTATGACGTCGGTATTCGACGTCATAAACACAAACAACTTAGGTGTTTATGACGTAGATATTCGACCACATAAACACGATCAACTTTCGTGTTGATGACGTCGATATTCGACCACATAAACACGATCAACTTTGGTGTTTATGACGTCGGTATTCGACGTCATAAACACAAACAACTTAGGTGTTTATGACGTAGATATTCGACCACATAAACACGATCAACTTTCGTGTTGATGACGTCGATATTCGACCACATAAACACGATCAACTTTGGTGTTTATGACGTCGGTATTCGACGTCATAAACACAAACAACTTAGGTGTTTATGACGTAGATATTCGACCACATAAACACGATCAACTTTCGTGTTGATGACGTCGATATTCGACCACATAAACACGATCAACTTTGGTGTTTATGACGTCGGTATTCGACGTCATAAACACAAACAACTTAGGTGTTTATGACGTAGATATTCGACCACATAAACACGATCAACTTTCGTGTTGATGACGTCGATATTCGACCACATAAACACGATCAACTTTGGTGTTTATGACGTCGGTATTCGACGTCATAAACACAAACAACTTAGGTGTTTATGACGTAGATATTCGACCACATAAACACGATCAACTTTCGTGTTGATGACGTCGATATTCGACCACATAAACACGATCAACTTTGGTGTTTATGACGTCGGTATTCGACGTCATAAACACAAACAACTTAGGTGTTTATGACGTAGATATTCGACCACATAAACACGATCAACTTTCGTGTTGATGACGTCGATATTCGACCACATAAACACGATCAACTTTCGTGTTGATGACGTCGATATTCGACGACATAAACACGATCAACTTTAGTGTTTATAACGTCGATATTGGACGTCATAAACAAGATCAACTTTGATGTTTATGACGTCGATATTCGACGTCATAAACACGAGCAACTTAGATGTTTATGACGTTGATATTCGACGTCATAAACGCGATCAACTTTTATGTCGACGTCATAAAGACGATCAAGGTAGATGTTTATGACGTCGATATTCGACGACATAAACACGATCAACTTTGGTGTTGATGACGTCGATATTCGACGTCATAAACACAAACAACTTAGGTGTTTATGACGTCGATATTCGACCACATAAACACGATCAACTTTCGTGTTGATGACGTCGATATTCGACCACATAAACACGATCAACTTTGGTGTTTATGACGTCGATATTCGGCATCATAAACTCGATCAACTTTCGTGTTTATGACGTCGATATTCGACGACATAAATACGATCAACTTTGGTGTTGATGACGTCGATATTCGACGACATAAACACGATCAGCTGTGCTGTTTATGACTTCGATATTTGACGACATAAACACGATCAACTTTGGTGTTTATGACGTCGATATTCGACGTCATAAACACAAACAACTTACGTGTTTATGACGTCGATATTCGACGACAGAAACACGATCAACTCTGGAGTTTATGACGTCGATATTCGAAGACATAAACACGACCAACTTAGGTATTTACGATGTCGATATTCGGCGTTATAAACAATATCAACTTTGGTGTTTAAGACGTCGATATTCGACGTCATAAAAACGATCAACTTTGGTGTTTATGACGTCGATATTGAACGTCATAAACACGATCATCTTTGATGTTTATGACGTCGATATTCGACGTGATAAACACGATCAACTTTGGTGTTTATGACGTCAATATTCGACGTCATAAACGCGATCAACTTTGGTGTTTATGACGTCGATATTCGACGTCATAAACACAAACAACTTACGTGTTTATGACGTCGATATTCGACGACATAAACACGATCAACTTTCGTGTTGATGACGTTGATATTCGACGACATAAACACGATCAACTTTGGTGTTTATGACGTCGATATTCGACGACATAAGCACCATCAACTTTGGTGTTTATGACGTCGATATTCGGCGTCATAAACACGATCAACTTTGGTGTTTAAGACGCCGATATTCCTCGTCATAAACTCGATCAACTTTGGTGTTTATGACGTCGATAGTCGACGTCATAAACACTATCAACTTTGCTGTTTATGACGTCGATATTCGACGACATAAACACGATCAACTGTGGTGTTTATGACTTTGAAATTCGACGACATAAACACGGTCAACTTTGGTAGTTATCACGTCGATATTCTTCGTCATAAGCACGATCAACTTTGCTGTTTATGACGTCGATATTCGACGACATAAACACGATCAACTGTGGTGTTTATGACTTCGAAATTCGACGACATAAACACGGTCAACTTTGGTAGTTATCACGTCGATATTCTGCGTCATAAGCACGATCAACTTTGGTGTTTAAGACGTCGATATTCGACGTCATAAACACGATCAACTTTGTTTTTTATCACGTCGTTATTCGACGTCATAAACACGATCTACTTTGGTGTTTATGACGTCGGTATTCGACGACATAAACACGATCAACTGTGGTGTTTATGACTTCGAAATTCGACGACATAAACACGGTCAACTTTGGTAGTTATCACGTCGATATTCTGCGTCATAAGCACGATCAACTTTGCTGTTTAAGACGTCGATATTCGACGTCATAAACACGATCAACTTTGTTTTTTATCACGTCGTTATTCGACGTCATAAACACGATCTACTTTGGTGTTTAAGACGCCGATATTCGTCGTCATAAACTCGATCAACTTTGGTGTTTATGACGTCGATAGTCGACGTCATAAACACTATCAACTTTGCTGTTTATGACGTCGATATTCGACGACATAAACACGATCAACTGTGGTGTTTATGACTTCGAAATTCGACGACATAAACACGGTCAACTTTGGTAGTTATCACGTCGATATTCTGCGTCATAAGCACGATCAACTTTGGTGTTTAAGACGTCGATATTCGACGTCATAAACACGATCAACTTTGTTGTTTATCACGTCGTTATTCGACGTCATAAACACGATCTACTTTGGTGTTTATGACGTCGATATTCGACGTCATAAAGACGATAAACTTTGGTGTTTATGACGTCGTTATTCGACGTCATAAATACGATCTACTTTGGTGTTTATGACGTCGATATTCGACGTGATAAACACGATCAACTTTGGTGTTTATGACGTCGGTATTCGACGACATAAACACGATCAACTGTGGTGTTTATGACTTCGAAATTCGACGACATAAACACGGTCAACTTTGGTAGTTATCACGTCGATATTCTGCGTCATAAGCACGATCAACTTTGCTGTTTAAGACGTCGATATTCGACGTCATAAACACGATCAACTTTGTTTTTTATCACGTCGTTATTCGACGTCATAAACACGATCTACTTTGGTGTTTAAGACGCCGATATTCGTCGTCATAAACTCGATCAACTTTGGTGTTTATGACGTCGATATTCGACGTCATAAACACAATCAACTTAGGTGTTTATGACGTCGATATTCGACGACATAAACACCATCAACTTTCGTGTTTATAACGTCGATATTCGACGACATAAACACGATCAACTTTGGTGTTTATGACGTCGGTATTCGACGTCATAAACACAAACAACTTAGGTGTTTATGACGTCGATATTCGACCACATAAACACGATCAACTTTCGTGTTGATGACGTCGATATTCGACCACATAAACACGATCAACTTTGGTGTTTATGACGTCGATATTCGGCATCATAAACTCGATCAACTTTCGTGTTTATGACGTCGATATTCGACGACATAAATACGATCAACTTTGGTGTTGATGACGTCGATATTCGACGACATAAACACGATCAACTGTGGTGTTTATGACTTCGATATTCGACGACATAAACACGATCAACTTTGGTGTTTATGACGTCGATATTCGACGTCATAAACACAAACAACTTACGTGTTTATGACGTCGATATTCGACGACAGAAACACGATCAACTCTGGAGTTTATGACGTCGATATTCGAAGACATAAACACGACCAACTTAGGTATTTACGATGTCGATATTCGGCGTTATAAACAATATCAACTTTGGTGTTTAAGACGTCGATATTCGACGTCATAAAAACGATCAACTTTGGTGTTTATGACGTCGATATTGAACGTCATAAACACGATCATCTTTGATGTTTATGACGTCGACATTCGACGTGATAAACACGATCAACTTTGGTGTTTATGACGTCGATATTCGACGTCATAAACGCGATCAACTTTGGTGTTTATGACGTCGATATTCGACGTCATAAACACAAACAACTTACGTGTTTATGACGTCGATATTCGACGACATAAACACGATC